GTACGTTTCTTTTGTGTTTCTCTGCTCATGGATCTGACCAGCAGTGTCATTCTTCTCTCTCAACCCAGAACCTAAGAATCGTTCCAAGTATTCCCGTCTCTTTCTCACTCTCACTCACAAATCCAACTAGTCTCAGACTACCAGTGATTTTATCTCCTACATATCTCTCACGTGTGTTCTTTCATCTCCATCAGGCTCTACTTATTTCTCTGCTAAATGGTGTAAATCCAACAGCTTTTTTCACAGTCATCCAGTTATATCAACTCTCCCCCTTAAGTCTTTTAGCTGCTTTCCATCCAGATGTCTCAATTGAAGGTCCAAAGACATCCTTTTTAATCGACATTTTCAGTATGATCCCTTACCCCATACGCTGCAGTTATATGGAACCATTTGCATGATTCTGAATGCCACACACTCTCTCACCTTCATGCTATTACAAGACTTCTTGCCTCTCCATCCCCTTTCCATCTGCCTGTTTAACTCTTACCAACCCTTCACATTTCAGTTCAAGTGTCTTCTCAGCTATAAAACCCTCTGTTATATCCCCAGTTTATTTTTAGGAATGAATTACCTAGGAATATGAATAAATAAACCTAGAGTTTATTTCAACTGCAGACTTACCACATTGTATTGCTGTTAATTATGTAGTTGCACATATCTACAACTATACTCTGATCACTTACTGGTAGTGACTATTTTTTTTTCATCTCTTAAACTTAGGAGCTTGGAAGGGTATTTGACACATCATAAGATACTAAACAAGTTTTGTTGAAAGATTGAAAAACTAGGAATAGGGTAGGACTACAAAAATTTTGAATATCACAAATCAAGCCCATTTGTTCATCTCAAACATTAAAAAAGTGTCTTCAGCATTTGCAGCTATGATGGATGATTGCTACTTTATGCATATACATTTTATGCATCGTTTGCTTACTAATACTCTCCTTCTGATAATATGCCTCATATTTTCGGATATCCTTATGTGTTAGCTCTACATCCTCTATTAGGTATAAACTTGAATATGGACCCTATTTCCTTTGAAAATGCTTGTAATGTCTACTTGAGGAAAGGTCTCATATTTTTTCTACCTGTTCAATAACATATTTTAATAGCTGAGTTACCTGTGAGAATAATAAAACTAAGAATATGGTAACAAACATTTTTGAGGAGCATATCATTCAACTTTTGATCCTGGGCTTATGCTTTGAACAGTTCTGTAGACATTCTTTTTAAAGACTAAAACAAAACAACATACCAAAAATAAATAAATAAACTGTTTCCCTTTCATTTGCACATAAATATAGTAAAGCTATATTTAGACTTATAACTAGATTTAAAATATTAACTACAAAAAATAGATAGGAAATGGGCACTTTTTAAAAGTATTAGAGGATACTTTTCTCAGAGGAGTTTTGAACTACAGAAGGAAATAATTATATGGCCTATATGTGGATTTACATAATAAAATGTTATATTGTCAAAGGAATCCATGCTGTCTTCTTGTACATATATTTGTGCTACAAAACTTAAAAATAATATAAGTAAAGAATGAAGTATTGATATGTAAGCAGACATAACTTTTTGAAACGAGTAAATGAAATATAGTTATTACTAGCTGCAGGGAAAAGGATGTGCCAGTAATAATGGAAAACTTTAGCAACAGTATTTTCTTTGTAAATTTTAATATAGAGGGAAAATAAACAATGTCTATGGTTATCAGATTTTTCTGGAGATGTAAAAAGATGATTTTTCTACACATATGTCTGTAATGCATGCTCATTAATGGCATAAAGCCATACGTAGTCGGGTCTCAAAGGGACTCCAGATCTATGATTCAAAATATTTCATTTTCCAGACAAAGAAAGTGAAGACTGAAAAATCAAGTGCTTTGTCTAAAGCCACACCATTAATTTGAGATTAAGCCTGGCTACAACTCAGGTGTTCTGATAAATGTCTATTATAAAAATATGTGTGTAATGTATGAACGTATAAAATACATCTGTATCACATCTACGTCTGTGTGTATTTTTAACATGGATATTTACTATTAAAAAGAATTGTGTATTCTTTCTGCAAATCAGACAGTGCTTTATGGTTAAATCATTAGATCATCAAAAGGATACATTAAGTGTTGCTTAAGGAGCATAGTGTTTATCAGAAGTCAATAAAATGTTAATGGTGCCTCCATAGGTCCTCACAAGTATCATTGAGTTGTCTGGGAAATTGACTCTATGTACACAATACTTTGGGCTAACCTTTTTTACAATAGCTTTTGTTCTCTGAAAAAAAAAAAAAAGAATCATATATTTCACAATAAGTTAGCTCCTCATTTTAAATCCTAAATATTTATTTGCATGACAAATTATTACTATTCCAAAGAAATCAATGCAGCATAGAGCATCAAAAAATATTTTTGATAACACATCTTTTATGTATTAAGGACTTAAATTTACCATTATAGAAAAGGTGAATGAAGAAACATTTACCCTTAAGGAATACAACAACGTTCTCAGAGAAATAAATGCATAAAGTAAAATAATACTTTTTTCTCCAGTTTATTTACCCCTACTACCTCTATAACTAATACATCAAAATCAAATATCATTTGAGATGATACCAAAGCGCTTTAGAACTTGCTCTCCACAAATGGTAGCTGTTTATTAAAATGTTAACAGTAGCTTTGACAAAACCACAGTCATGTTTCTTAACAAAGTCTTACCCCAGGAATTGTTGGATGACTGTTTTATTGTTCAATAATTAGTCTTAGGAGTCCCAAGTGACCTTTAACTTTTACCTTTCGTAACTGATAATGAACCGTAATAACAGGGAGATAACCAATTCAATTTTGTAACATGCATAAAATCCAACTTAATTTCCCAAATGAGCATTTTATAAACAGTGAGTAGGAAAAATACATAAAACAGAGGTGGACATTACTATTTGTGTTCCGGTATTCCCCTCTGCTTAAATGTTACTCCATACAATAAAAATAAAATTATTATGTTCTACAAAGAGTAATGATGATCAGTCTTGAATTCTTCCTGGTAAATTTCAAGGTAGAAGCACACTTATCTTCATATCTTCCTCTTAATGTAGCATATTGCTTAAATGTGTACACTGATAACTTTCTCAAAACAAAAAATTTTTAATAACTTGTCAGTTACATGTGTCCTTAATACTGTGTAGTGTCACTTGTATTTAAAGAAGAAATGCCGACTCCCACTTTTGAGACTTACTTGTTTGTGGGTTCAGTGGGAAGGGAATATGGTCAAGTTAATTAGAATCTTTGTATCAATGGTACACGCCTTTTATTTTCAATACGCTAATGACAGTGACTTCAACTTAAAGGTTCATATCATCAAAATAGAAAACAAGTTTGTGGAAAAGAAAAAAAATAAGATTTGTTCTATACTTTTAATATGCAAAAGCCTGTGGCATAGACTAGTGTTTTGAAAGACAGTCACAATGGGGTTCACTTGGAGGTTGTTTTAAAGACAATGTGTATTTTTACTTTTTTTAAAGATGTAGTCTCACTTTGTGGCCCAGGCTGGAGTGCAATGGGCGATCTCAGCTCACTGCAACCTCCACCTTTGGCGTTCAAGTGATTCTCCTGCCTCAGCCTCCCAAGTAGCTGGGATTACAGGCGCCTGCCACTAGCCGGGCTAATTTTTGTATTTTTAGTAGAGATGGGGTCTCACCATGTTGGTCAGGCTAGTCTCGAACTTCCTATCTCAGGTGATCTACCTGCCTTGGCCTCCCAAAGTGCTGGGATTACAGGCGTGAGCCACTGTGCCCGGCTGACAATGTGTATTTGAAGTGTACGTGTTATGACTGCAAGAGATGGAAGGATAGAAATTTATGTGGCCATGTGTATTGCATTAACTGTAGAGACGGTAGAGTTAAGAAAGTCTAAAACAAGCCTTGTTTTCTCAAGGTCATCCCTTCTTGACACTTTCATCCTCTGCTCCCTACTGCAGAATCCCAGTCACCTGTGCAGACTGCCTATTCTGTCAAGCTTTTGGGGAGAATATACTAGTATTTCAGAAATAACACATACAAGAATATAACAGCAATGATGTTTACTTGAGTTCTTTAGAAGCTCTTGGATGACTCTTCGACTGATGAAATGGCAGTCTATACAGATCCCCCGAGTACTGAATGGTAAAATTCAGCAGAAAGGGCGCACAAGAAATTTTCTTTGACCTCTGGTGTAACAGTAATGGCTGTTAGAATTACAAGTCGCATTGCTCCCAAGGGGTAGAGTTCTGTTCGGTTTATAGAGAGCTAGTCCCACAGGACTCTACTCAGCAGGAGATGCTGTCTGTTACATAAGAGTTCTCAGTGTTAAAGTGGACAATAACTACACCCTTTCTCATGGTACAGCTGTGTCCAAAGACACACGGACCTCTCCCCAATCTCTCTCTCCTTTCTTCCCTTTCTCTCTATCTCTCTCTCTCTCTCTCTCTCTCACACACACACACACACACACACACACACACGCACACACACATACATGCACATACACACCCAAGCCTAATGTACCTGCCAACTAATGATTAGCTAAAAATAAAGCAAACCTGCGCAATACAGATTTGGAAACATTAGGGCTGAAAATCATGTTGAGAAGGAACAGGAGGACAGGTTTTTTTCTTCTTCTTTTTTTGTGTGGGCTTTTTTCCCGTCTCTCTCTTTTTTTTTTTTAACCTATGACAACTCGTTTTTAGCCCTTCGTCTTGTCTTTGCTATTGAATATAGTCTTGAGAAGCGTTGATTTCATTTTAGCCTCACTCCCCTGCTCCCACCGCTTGCCCACACCCACAGCTGCCACTCCTGGGAGTGGGGGCACTTCCCTGCTATTCCGCATCCCTGCAGACTCCCTTGCCACTCCTGAACATTATGTCAACCTCCCCACCTCCACGCTTCCTTACTTTTAAAAAGGTGCAAAGAAAGAGCTGTGTACTGTTTTTCTTTTTTTCCCAAAGATAAAACCTGAGACTCGATGCTTGCTCTCAGGAATCCTAACTTAGAGGCACGGCCACTCTCACACCAGTCCAAGACTTCTCAGAGTTCACTACACAGGGCTGGGGGCTGGACCCGCAAAATCGATTTGCCCATCAAGTTAACTTGGTCGGCCTGGGACCCAAGGCCAGGGTGAAGGGGAGACATCCCGGGCCCTGTCGCTTTTCCCTTGAGCCTCCAAACAGCGGCGTAGGGCTGAGATGCCCCCGCCCCCGGCCCCAGGCTTTGGAAGAGCCTGGCGCTGAGCAGGCGCCCCGGAGCGGGGTCTCGGGGGTCCCCGGAACAGTCACGTGTTCTAGAGACGCCGTTAAACTACCGCCTTCTCTTCCCACCGCCGCCTCCAGGTCCTGCTCCAGCCGCCGCCGTCGCCGCGGGGTGCAGGAGCAGCTGCGCAGGGCAGCGCTCCCGGGAGCCCAGGGCCTGCATCGGTCGGGGCGCCCCGAGGTACAGGCTTCCGCCCCTCACTGTCACCCCCTGCCGCGCCGGGTAGGCCTGCACCGAGGGGCCTTGGCGGGTCCTAGCGCTCGCTGCGAGTCCGCACAGGTCCCTGGGAGCCCGCACCCCTGTCTCTGGTGCCGGGGCGTTGTTGGGGGTCCCAAGAGGGCAGGGTAAGGAAGGCGAAGGGAGCGCGGCTGGAAAAATGCGGATTAGGGTGGCGGATCAGGCAATTGTCAAGAGTGAAGAGACAGCGGAGAGGGTACTGGGCTGAATTCTTCATGTCGAGCAGGTTCCTCCAGTCTCCAACTCACCCGGGTGGAGCAGGCGTGGGCCGAACCCGGGTGGAGAGTGTAGGGGATCCGCGGAGGAGCCACCTGGGGAGGGGGCGGGGAATGGACGGAGCGCTGTCCCCGGCTGGACGCGCCCTGGGTGCAGCCAGGAAGGCGTCCGGAGCTGGGAACGGCAGCCCGAGAGGTGACTGGGTCAGGGCTCAGCCCTAGAGGGTCTCTGGCGAGGCCAGGGGCGCAGCCCGCGGGGCGCCACTCAGGCAGTCCAGTTGACGCGAGCGGTCCAGCACTGACCCGAGCCCGGCAAGCAGCTGCGCTCCGAGGTTTGCGCTTCTATTTGCAAGGTGGCTTCATATGACAAAGGCAAGCAATAACAAACATCCATAGAACTCGAATTCCAGAAACAGGAATTCTTTTTCCCAAGTTCACAGACCTTTAATTAATCTTTTAAGGGAACTGAGGCTTTGTGTTGGACCAAAGCCAAAACGATTTTACCATCAGCCGTGGAAAATAGCCTAAGGCTCTTTCAGCCGAATTTTGCAGTCCGAATGCAATTTTAGATTTTAGATTTCTCAAGGGAAGAGAAACTCTGCCGTTAGAATTTGGAAGGGAGGGTGGTGCATGCCTGTGTTTGTCAGCTGAGCAGAGCTGTATTTATCTTTCCAATTCAAATTGTGGCATATTCTGGCTTTAAGAACAAACCATGGGAATATTTAAGAACATGGACTCATGCTCCTGTTCCACGATCACAGCAAAATAGACAATAGTTGATATTTTATCATTGCAGGAGAAAAATAATTACATATATTTTGTTCTTTTGTGTGATTGGCATCCTTTGTGAGAAGAATGATGTGTATTTTCTAAAGGCAAGAAATTACTCGAACAAAGAAACCTTATTTAAGTGTACAAGTCAGACTTTTAATATCCTTTGAATTCCCTGCAGTTTCTCCTATTATTCTTAAGAACTATCTACTACACTCTTAAAATACTTGCAATCTATTCGGAAGGTTTCATTTGTTTAGGTGAACAACTTATAAGAAAATGCCAATAAATCTTTAAGAAGACATTGAATATCAGTTGTCATAGTTTAATAACGAACTTTCATTTTTCACACTTTTTACTCAGAGACTAAAGTTCTGTGTTTCAGCATGGAAATTTCCATGGTAGGAGATACAACTAATATAAAAGAGAATAAGTAAAAATAGTAATTAGATATAACAAAAGTTTCATGCTATCGATTTCAGATCTCTTATCAAATAATATTCCATGTTAAAATATTGTTTCTCTGGTTATATTTTATAATTTCTATAGCAATCTGAGAAGGTTCACATATATCATTACTTTTATTATAGATAAAGTATGTTGCATAAAAATGTACAGCACTTATAATAACACTCGTTGAAAAGTAGAGGGTTATTAAACGTATTTGCGTTTCCATTGTAGGTCTGCTCATTGTATTTTTCAGGAAAAAGGAAGGGAAAGGGTAAGTTTAAGGCAAGAAATCGTGCTTTTTTTGTTTGTGTTTTATTTAAAGAGCATTCTTGTACCTTAGATTTTCGACTTAAATCTGATTGGACAAGTTTTTCTTAATGTTTAAACTATCCCCTGGCTACCAGGAGGCACTTAAAAAAAAAAAAAAAAAAAACCTGCATGTCCACACCCCCCACCCAACTGCCAGCATTTGCAATATTCATTATTTAATTGTAAGAAGATATTCTCCCTTCATTGGATCAAAGAATCACCTAATGTTCATTTTGTGCACACTGTATATTAGGTATTATGTGTTTGTATGTTTATGGGGTAGATGGTGTGGTGTGGGACTAGAGGGAGAGTAGGAGAAAGTTGACTACAGTTACACAAAAATGAAATGAATAAATGAATGTTGAATGAATGTATGAATGCTGAGACAATTTTTTAAATTTGCTAATTAATCTATCAGTAGCTACATCAAGTAGTACTCATTATATTCAGCAACAGTACAAGTGTCGATGCTATAGTGAAAGAATATATTGCTGGCAGTCAGGACAAAGCCATTCATTTATTAATTAATTCATCATCCAATTTGGGGCCTTTTATATCTCAGCAATCTACAGTTACTCAGAGTTTGAACTTGAATTAATCCATCATAGAATATTCTTTGCATAGTACTTGTATTAGTCATTTTTGTGCTTACAGCAGAGCAGACCACCTACCAGAATATATGTTTAATAAACACTTCTTGATAGAATAAAAGAAGGAACAACTAATCATTCTTAGCTATTCATTAATAAAAGGGGCCTATCCTTTAAAATTATATATAAATTATTCACTTTCTTAAAATTCTCAAATATTTTAAGGAATGAAAGAAACATCCTCAGTTTTTTCTCCAGCGTCCAATGAATACTCAGGATGGCATTTCTTTCACCTTCTTACTAAGGATATGTGGTTTTATAATTTAATGCATTCAATATTTTATGTGCATATATTTAAAATAAAAGTTTTAATAACAGACTGCACAGTTGTGGAATCTGATGTACTTCTTTTTTCACTGACATTTTTTAAATGTTGTAAATATATCTTGGAATTTTAGTTTCATGTTGCCTGTGTGATAGCCTTTATCAATGAAGATATCCAAATGAAAAATTTAAAGCGCTAAACTCTCTTTATTGTCTATTTAGGTATCTCTTCCTCATCGCATTTTGGGGCCATTTAAAACATCCATAATTTTAATGGTTCCCTATAAATATATATGTAAACATTCATGTACACACATATATATGCACACACAAATATATAGTCATACTTAGTCATAGTATATCCTGAATTTCCCCACATTACCAAGATGATTCATTTCTGTTATTTTAAAGCCAGGGAAACTAAACTGCTTTTCTAAAATGATTGGTAACGAATATTTACTTAGCATCCACTGTGTGTAATATGCTCTGTTAAACATCATTGCTAGAATAAAAATAATTGAGACTTTTATCTCCATTAGAATCTAATAGAGCGTTCTAACCACATGGATTGGAGAAAATCTGAATTTTAGACTCAAAACCACATTGTTTCTATTACCACAAATTGTGCTGCATCTTCTCTTTCTTCAAAAAATTTTGGACAGCAATTTTACACTAAATAAGTATCATCCACAGTTACATGTTTCAAAAAAGCACAAAGCCATTGTAGAAGGGGCTGTCCAATTTCTCTCTTATTCTTGCTTAGGTAATACAAGGAAAGGTCATCAGTAACAACTGACCTGCCACAAAGTTAAAGAAAAGGATTGACTCCAGAAAGTAAGTAAAGAGAAGAACAGCTAAGTAGGATTGCTATTACAAACAGCCTGTACACATTATGAGTATACACAAGATCATGAATAAGCTGAATTGAGCCACGGGGTCATCAGAACTCAGGAAATTAGGCAAAAGCACCAGTCAAAGCTGTTTTGATTAGAAGCCTGCTGACCTATCCACAGTAGTTGGGAAAGGCTATTGACTGGGAATATGATGAATAACATGATTCAGTAGGTCATGTGAGTCACTTTTGTACTAGGTATTCTTTTTCATTGAAGCAATATTAACGTATATTGTTGGCTAGGGTCTAAGAATGAATGAATACAGTCCTGAGTCTTTGAATTAACTTATCCTTCAAAAGGATGTAGTTAGATTCCAGAAAGTAACTTGATCAACATAAAATCACTTGTAGAAGTTGTGAAAATCTTGTAACTTTTCTCATAGCACAACAATGATTCTGTCATCTTGTTTGAAACTTACTATGTAAAGAACTGAAGTTAAACTTACTTGTAATGAATGTATGTACACAATAGTATTTGCTGTTTAGAAATTTATTGAACCAGAACCTGTAGGTCCCTCATAAATTAAAGATAACAGTCTTTACTATTAATTTAAATAAGGTTTTTTTGTAGTTTTAGTATAATTATTCAATTATGGATCCAGAAATAAGTAGATAAACATGCATTGATAGGTAACAAAAGTGCTTTTCTAAATACATATATATCACAATCCCTATGAAAATATGTTTATTGGAATTAATTTGCTTGCTGGTTTGTGTTTTCTGTAGGAAATTTCTGTTAAAAAAAAAAAAAAAAGGAAAGTGGCAGAGCACAGTGGCTCATGTCTATAATCCCAACACTTTTGGAGGCCAGGAGTTGAGACCAGCTTGGGCAACATGGCAAGACCCCATCTCTACAAAAAATAGAAAGATTAGCCATTCGTAGTGGCAAGTGCCTGTAGTCCCAGCTGCTTGGGAGGCAGAAATGAGAGGATTGCTTCAGTCCAGGTGTTCAAGATTACAATGAGCTGTGATTGCACTACTGCACTCCAGTTTTGGCAACAGAATGAGACCCTGTTTCTAAGAAAAACAAAAAAGTTTTTAAAAAATGAAAGTCCTTATTTTCCTTAAAGGAGAGGAGGGTTTTTTTTTTTTTTTGCCTTTTATTGGTATGTTTTAGGCAATTTAGTGCTTCATCAGGCAGTACCATCAAAAATATAAGATGTAGCGGTAAATACATAATGCCATTGTGGTATGACATTAATTTTATTTGAAACAAAAAAACTTATGGGGAGTTATATTAATATTACTTCTACATTTACATTGAAGGTATAATGTTTTCCTTAAACAACAAATTCATTAATTCATTTGTAAGCCAAAATCTATACACAATTTTAAAATTCATTAACAGTTGAAATTTATTTGTTTAAAAAAAAACACTTACAGCACTACTAGTCCATCAGTGGTTGTCCTAATCAGAGATAGTATATCTCAAAAGACTGAGGATTGGTCACAGAAAGATTTCATCATCCAGCATTGTGTTCACACAGTAAACAGTACAGCTTGATAAACACATTTAATGAGTACCTACTATATGCATCTAGGTCATGAGCCAGTGATACTATTCCCAAGCAGTTTAAATTTGAACATTGTGTGAACTAGGTGATATTTATTTCTAGAGTTTTGTTTGAATTTTTTATTCTCTCATAAACATTTATTTAATACCTGCAGTGGTAAAGTTACTATGCCATGTATTGGGATGGAGACCAAAGTGAGTAAGAGATAGTTTCTGCTTTTCCATTGCTTGTAAATCAGCAAGGTAGACTGGTAGGCATTACGATGCCGTGAAAGCAGATTACGATATGCAGCATTTGACAACTGTAGATAGAATGTAACAGGAGTTCTGAAGAGGAGGTCATGTGCAGTTGAGTTGACCAGGACAGGTGACTTTTAAGTTTGGCCTAGCTTGAGATCGAAACGAAAGGAATTTTAAAGGTAAGATTATGGGACTAAACTATGCACCAGGTATCTTGACTTGGAGAATAATATTAATGAGCAAGTGTAAATTATGAATCTTGAAGTTCTTGTCTACATTTGCCTTTTTCTTTCCTTACGTTATTTACTACATAAATTTTAAAAATACAATCTACCTCAATACAAGTTAATACATCTTAGAAGTATTGATAAAATTAAACTTACTGTAATCATTATTGGCTGATATTTGCACTGCACTTGGAACCAGTTAAAGATTTCATAAACTTTCTTAGGAGATTAATAAGGTCATGGGAGCTTATTGTAAAACTTAGTTTCCCTCTGAATAGATTAACTTAAAGGAGTCATGTAATTTTTTTTAGATTTCTAACAAATGCCTTTTTATTCCAGGCAGGACTATAATATGGATTTAGAGCTCAGTGAGTATTATAACAAGACACTTGCCACGGAGAATAATACTGCTGCCACTCGGAATTCGGATTTCCCAGTTTGGGATGACTATAAAAGCAGCGTAGATGACTTACAGTATTTTCTGATTGGGCTCTATACATTTGTAAGTCTTCTTGGCTTTATGGGGAATCTACTTATTTTAATGGCTCTCATGAAAAAGCGTAATCAGAAGACTACGGTAAACTTCCTCATAGGAAATCTGGCCTTTTCTGATATCTTGGTTGTGCTGTTTTGCTCACCTTTCACGCTGACCTCGGTCTTGCTAGATCAGTGGATGTTTGGCACAGTCATGTGCCATATTATGCCTTTTCTTCAGTGTGTGTCAGTTTTGGTTTCAACTTTAATTTTAATATCAATTGCCATTGTCAGGTATCATATGATAAAACATCCTATATCTAATAATTTAACAGCAAACCATGGCTACTTTCTGATAGCTACCATCTGGACACTAGGTTTTGCAATTTGTTCTCCCCTTCCAGTGTTTCACAGTCTTGTGGAACTTCAGGAAACATTTGGTTCAGCGTTGCTGAGCAGCAGGTATTTATGTGTTGAGTCCTGGCCATCTGATTCATACAGAATTGCCTTTACTATCTCTTTATTGCTAGTTCAGTATATTCTGCCCTTAGTTTGTCTTACTGTAAGTCATACCAGTGTCTGTAGAAGTATAAGCTGTGGACTGTCCAACAAAGAAAACAGACTTGAAGAAAATGAGATGATCAACTTAACTCTTCATCCATCCAAAAAGGATGGGCCTCAGGTGAAACTCTCTGGCAACCACAAATGGAGTTATTCATTCATCAAAAAACACAGAAGAAGATATAGCAAGAAGACAGCATGTGTGTTACCTGCTCCAGAAAGGCCTTCTCAAGAGACCCACTCCAGAATACTTCCAGAAAACTTTGGCTCTGTAAGAAGTCAGCTCTCTTCATCCAGTAAGTTCATACCAAGGGTCCCCACTTGCTTTGAGATAAAACCTGAAGATAATTCAGATGTTCATGAACTGAGAGTAAAACGTTCTGTTACAAGAATAAAAAAGAGATCTCGAAGTGTTTTCTACAGACTGACCATACTGATATTAGTATTCGCTGTTAGTTGGATGCCCCTACACCTTTTCCATGTGGTAACTGATTTCAATGACAATCTTATTTCAAATAGGCATTTCAAGTTGGTGTATTGCATTTGTCATTTGTTGGGCATGATGTCCTGTTGTCTTAATCCAATTCTATATGGATTTCTTAATAATGGGATTAAAGCTGATTTAATGTCCCTTATACACTGTCTACATTTGTAATAATTCTCACTGTTTATCAAGGAAAGAACAAATGTTGATGTCATATAAAATATATTTATAATAACTGTTTATGTATAATAAATATAAATTCTGTTAACATGGAATTTAATTTATGTGAAAGAGTTCTGGATTTGAATATCAGTTCATAATATGTGGAAGATAATTTATTCAATTATGCAGCCAGTGTCAATCCAATGTATAATTTCATTTTAGAAAGTAGTTGTATTACCTTTCACTTCCATCTTGTCTTATAAACAAATAAAATTTATTTTTTGTTGAAACTAAAAGTTGTATCTAACCAGTATTTTTGTCCAAAAATATAATAGGAAAAAAGTTTCTTGAGGAATTTTTTATTTCAAACTTGAAGAATATCTACCAGCTATCTATATTCATTTCTACTCCACAGGCTTCTTAATGTTTAGTTTGAGAGCACAGAAAAAAGTTAGTATGCCTGGAAAATCATAAGTAAATGACAGATGTATGCCCAAATTATGAATATAAACATTAACAACAGTTTTGGAAGTCCTATAGGAAAATGCTATTGCCTGTTGAGAACTGGTCAAATTGTCAATTTCACTTCACTGTCCTAGTAATACACAAGTGATTTACCAAATAAACAATTTTAATTCTTTTCCAGACTCATTATACAACATTGAACACTACCAATAAAAGTTGTTTTCATATATATCTTTTCTATTCTAAAATGTGAAGTCTAAATGGTATCCATATTTCCAGCTATTAAATAATTTTAAAGAATATTTTAAATGTATACAGATAATTATGGTTTTGGCAAACATATAGAATGATTAATATATGTTATACTATTTCAATACTGTAGTCTCATATGCTGTCTTATTAAATTGAGGTCAGTCTTTTCAATTGTTGTAACTTTATTTTAGCCAGTTTTTTAAGGAACTAAGTCTTTGAAAAGAAAATGGAGTGTTTGCATATATGATTCAGATGTGCATAGTAACATTGACGTCTTCAGTTCCTATAACAGATTTAAGCATTCCCTGTTCTTAGTAAGGGAAACAATGAAACAAAACAAACAAAAAACCTTTAAGTTTGCAAGTAGTAAGCCATGCTGGTAAGTATTTAATCAACTAAAAATCCAAAATCCCTATGGGGGCATTGTTTATGCCCTCCTTCCCTAGATGATGTCCACACACACAGGAAGCTAATGTGATTTCTTGCCATGGGGAAAATAGTGCTGGTCCACAAAATATCCTCTGCTGGTACCTGCTGAACTCCAGTTGAGGCATGATAATCTTGACTTGTCTCTGTGTTACATCAGGCTCTGCTGTACCACGTATGGTCTGTTCTCAACAAGGTGAAGGCCAGAGAATCCAGCTCCAGAACCTCCAACCCCTGCTGACATGGCAGGACTGATACTCTCATTGACTTAAACTGTCATTGCTTGAGTGTCAGCCATATCCTGTTTGAGTTTCAGCTAAGGCTGTCTACTCTGTGGAGTCTTGCTATGCAGTCAATGACATTGCGCCTTGCTAAACCTGGAAACTATTGGAGAACTTTATGTCCTGTGGAGTGGAACTCCACAGGAACTTATGAAACTCTACCCCACACATAGAATTGAGGCAACTTGGGCTTACTCAGGCCTTCTCCCTGCTCAGATGTGATAAGCTGCCATATCGACTCTGCTGTGTCCACTCCATGTTGGCACAATAGCACCCTGCTTCTCAGTCCTTTTTTAGACTTTCAAATATAAATCTGGTTACAAGCGCTGTCTGCTTTTAGCTTCCCTCTAATCTTTCTAGTGCTATATGAGTGTTTTTTTCAAGTTTTTATATTATAGCAGATGGAAAAGGTGAAAAACCTCTGTTCACTTTTGCTTTTCTATTTTTTCCTTTTTATTCTAAGAGATTCTACTTTTTTCTGCCTAGTAAGAATGTCTCTCACTAGTATCATCCCCTTTCTCTTCACTGTGACATAGTAGAACTACATTAATCAAGATTTGCTTTTGGAAGGGAGGATTTTATGATTAAGACTTTTCCTCCCCCCTCTGTCTCACCATGCACAAAAAAAAGAAGGGGAAGGGTAGTACTCTGAAGACTGACCTCTTGTTTAAAAGCAATTGGCATTTGCACTTTCACTAGCACAATTAATTTCAAGGTTTGAGGTTAGTGTCTGGAGGGAGAAAAATCTCACTGATAAGGGCTAATATAAATGCATAGGGAGATGTTTTATCCTGTTAGAAAAACTTACATTAGCCAATGTACAACAGCTGTCAAACTTCACAGGTTTTATGGCTGTTGATAGATGAGTTTAGTTAAGCTGGATAAACTAATTTGGGGCTCTTAAACTATTGAACTCAAGGGAAGAAATTTATCTTTCCTAAATAGAAATAACTGAATGTTCTTAATAATTGAAAGTTGAGAACTTTGGATGGGTTGGCAGACAGTCGTTAAGATGGGGATTAATGGCTTTAGAAGATTATTATAAATAATGATTGTTTTATAGACACTTGCTGAGCGAGTTAAACAATTTATGTTCATTCAACTCTCCATTGCTCAAAGGCTGATTATCTAACCTTTTTTCCTGTTCTCTCCTGGTGTCTGACTTGATTACTCATTCAATAGCATCTGCACAGAAGCATGGCTAGGGGAAATGAGACGAAATTATAAAGTCAACCTCATTACTTTTTTGCAATTATGTAGAAATATTTAATTCAGGAAGAGATGTTAAATTGGGTTTTCGTGGTTATTTAAATTATTCCTGACCAGACATGGTGGCTCACGCCTGTAATCCCAGGATTTTAGGAGGCCAAGGTGGGAGAATTACTTGAGCCCAGGAGTTCAAGACTAGCCTGGGCAATGCAGGGAGACCTTATCTCTACAGAAATTTTAAAAGTTAACTGGGTGTGGTGGTGCATGCCTGTAGTACTAGCTGCTCAGGAGGCTTAGGCGGAAAGATTGCTTGAGCTCAGGAGTTAGAGGCTGCAGTGAGCTATAATCATGCTGCTGTACTCCAGCCTGGGGAACAAAACAAGACCCTGTCTCAAAAAAAATAAAAATTATTCCTGCCACCTATATTGCCCATTCCTGTGAATAATAAAACACTAGATTAAAAAAAAAAGCTGGCAAAAGCATGAAGAACAACTAAATTAAATGATGAAGAAATGTGCATTAGGATTATTTTAATTAACAGGCATCTACTAAATATCTAGTGTGTACTAGGAACTCTTATAGATGACAGACCAAAAAGATCCCTACTCATTTGGTGTTTGCCTTCTGGAAGGCGGGGAGCCAGTGGCAGGAGGTGAACAAGCAATAGCAATAAGAACAATAAAAATGAGGTATAAGGTAGTGGTACACTATGTAGACACATGTATTGTTTCCAAAGGCTACCAAAACAAAGCACCGCAAACTGGGTGGCTTAAAACAGCAGACATTTATTGTCTCACAGTTCTAGAGACCAGAAGTCTGAAATCAGTGTGTCTGCAGGACCATGTTCCATCTGAAACCTGAAGGAGAGCCCTTCCTTGTCCTTTTCTGGCTTCTGTGGCTAGCTGGCAGTCTTCCGTGTTCCTTGCAGCTACATGACTCCACCTTCTGCTTTGTCATATGATGTTATCCTTCTGCTCTGTGTTCCAGTGTCTCTCTTCTTATAAAGACACCAATCGTATTGGATTTCCCCCCAACCCACCTACACTTTAGTAGAATATCATCTTAGTGGAACTAATAATATCTGCCATGAATTTATTTTCAAATAAGATCACATTCTGAGGTTTTGGAGACTAAGATTTCAGTACTTTTTTAGGCAGGAGGACAGTTCAACCCCTAACAGTATATTAATGATTGGAACCTTTAATACAATATACAGCAGGGTCAGAAATCATGTGCATGTGCTTTGAGGGAAAAAAAGAGATGGATGCAACTTCACATGGGATGGCTCCATACTTTCATTGAGAAGATGACTTTTGTGCAAAGACTTGAAAGAGGTGAGGAAGTGGGCTGACTATCAGGGAAAAGAGGACTCCAGGCAGCTGGTACAGTCAGTGCAAAGGCTTTAATCAGGAGCACATTTTGAGTGTCGAAGGAACAGGAAGCATTTACTGTAACAGAAGTGCAACAGACAGAAATGAGATAAGGAGCCAATTCAAGGACAGATCTTACAGGTCCTTGCAGGTATTTTTAAGGACATTGACTTTCACTTTTGGTGAAAAGAGGAGCTATTGTGGATATGGATCAGAGAGAAGAGACAATCTGTCTTACAATAAAAATAATAGCTCTAGTTATGAAAATAGACCGTGTTCCTCTGACTTAATTTGTGATATTTACCACCACGATGCTTAATGCTGATAGATATGTTAGTTCACTGGGGGTTGCAAAAATGGGGATGTTTTAATTCTATCATTTCTTTCACATTTATTAGATTAAATACATTAATAAAAAGAACTTTCTTGTGTCTATTATTTGGTTATGCAATGTTACAGTTCTTTTAGGAAAGACAGAACAAAAGTTTGATACTATCTTTTTATTTACTAACTGTTGGAAAGTGATTGACTCATGTATGTAAACATACATACATGATTGGCTTTGATTCGTTGTCTTTTTATCACGATTGAAGCTCAAATAGTTCCATCTTTGGTGAGTAGGAACCCTTCAAGTTGCATCCAGGTCATTATATTTTTTTGGTACAGTATTTACAATTTTTATCTGTGGGACAGTCGGATCCAGTAGTAGCCACTTAATCACAACAGAAGAAGGAGTCCATGGCGTCCATTCTAAACCATAAATGATCACGGGAAAATCTGAAAGAATGAGAGTTTCTCAACTACGAGATTTTAGGTTTCTCTCTTTTTCTCTCAATAGGTTTCCTAAAGAGGTTGAACTTCAAGAGCTAGTCAGCATAATATTGAACCTAGATAATCCTGAACACATTTAGTAGTTTTACTGTACTACATATAATTTGTTTCAAAGTCAGGCTAATGTAACAGATGCAGTTCAATGTAAATTAGATACATTCTCAAAAGTGTTAAAAGCCAAAACTGTTTAGTAGTGGATATTCAGGTTAGATGGTGGCCAGTCTGACCCTAATTCATCTCCAATTCACCATAGAATTGTTTGTGAGGATGGTGATAAACAGGATGACAAGGTATTACAACTATATTCTTGTACATTTTCCATGAAAATTCTTGTTCCTAGTATTACATCCTAAATACAGGTTTATAATCCTCTATAAATCATTACTGGTCTGATCCAAACTAATAAGATGCTTATTATGGTCTTCATTTATCCCACTTAGCATTCTGCTACAGAAATATTAA